GTTTGTTGAGACTATACCCCAGCCCAGAGCGCCCGCCACTAGGAAACAGTACGCCTTAAAGTGGAACCTTTTCGCTTCATGGTGCGGACAGCGACTGCAGGACCCAGTCAACTGCCCAATTGGTACAGTTCTGGAGTTTCTGCAGGAGCGATTCTCCGCAGGGTTATCTCCCTCCACTCTGAAGGTATACGTGGCGGCCTTAGCTGCTTACCACGCCCTTCTGTGTGGTCAATCATTGGGAAGACACCCACTTGCCACTCGTTTCCTCCATGGCACCCTGAGGCTGAGGCCGGTACAGCGTACCAAGGGGCCCATAGTACTTCAGGCATTCTCTCCTCCTCCATTCCAGAAAGTAGGCCAAGAAAGGCTTAATCTGCTCTGTCCAGTTCAAGCACTGGACGCTTACGCACACAGAGCTGCCCGTGGCGTAAGGCAGATCAGCTTTTTGTTTGTTTTTGGTCTGCCAAATAAGGGATTTCCGGCGACCAAGCAGACTATGAGTAGGTGGGTGGTTGAGGCCATCTCACTAGCCTACGAGTCCTCTGGCCTCCCGTCACCTATGGGGGTCAGATCGCACTCGACCAGGAGTATGGCGGCCTCCAAGGCTTTCAGCTTGGGTGTGGCCTTGCAGGACATTTGTGCTGCGGCAGGCTGGTCCTTTCCGCACACTTTTGTCCGCTTTTACAACCTACACCTGGCATCTACCCCAGGTTCCAAAGTTCTCTCTTCGTGATGTGCTCATAAGATACACACACAGGCAGGGACTTGGTAGTATGGCGCAGTTGGTATTCTCGTTCCCAAAGCGAATCTCGACGCAGCTCGAGTTCCTGAAGTATAGGATGTTAATGCATCATGCAGTGTACCTGCATGTAATCTTCTGCATTCATCCTTCTTCTGCATTCATCACATTTTACTTTAATTTGTCACCCATACACATGTTCAAGTATAAAATGATTGAGGTATATAAAAACTCTTACCCTGGCTTCAGCTAGAAAACGGTCTAGTTTCAGTTCATGAGCCATGCGTCTCCCCTCTTAGTAGTTGGGATCCTGTGAGTCAAGTTTATGTTTGGAGGCCATTGCAATGCAAACAGATACAGACAAACAGATGAACACACAGCCAGACAGACAGACACAAACAGACAGATGTACTGTATACACAGAGGCTGCAAGAGTTAGACAGAGATAGATAGATAGATAGATAGATAGATAGATAGATAGATAGATAGATAGATAGATAGATAGATAGATAGATAGGGTACCCCAATAGTGAGAGGTTTCCATTTTCTTAAAAATATTTAAGGTAAATTAATACAAATTCAAGATTTTCCAATTTCCCGTATGACAGTTAAAAGGCATGGGGTTCTTCATCCAAGATTTAAAGGAAACTTCATGTGCAGTAACTTTAGGCAAAGTTATATTGTTATTACTGAGGCATTACAATGAAGTTGTGGGTCAGTGGCAAAAAGAAAAATGTGGTGGAGGGCACAAAATATATTTCCTATTGAAATACATTAGATGGAAATTCGTGCTGAGTGACATGAAAAAAGAGGGAAATTCGTGTCCATGAACACGAATCAATAGATTACATTTTGTGACTATATCACGAACTGCCGTGAGACTGGGTTGGTATGTATCGTGGCAGTTTAGAAATACCAGCTTCACTAAACTAAACCCCAAACCTCACATATAGTGATGACAAAAGCATCCGTGAGATAAAAACACATTGGATGAAGCAAACATGCCATTTTCGCTTGCTTCTACAAGTCTTTGAGCTCTTTTATTGTGGCCAGTGCGTAATGGGATATAGATAGATAGATAGATAGATAGATAGATAGATAGATAGATAGATAGATAGATAGGGTACCCCAATAGTGAGAGGTTTCCATTTTCTTAAAAATATTTAAGGTAAATTAATACAAATTCAAGATTTTCCAATTTCCCGTATGACAGTTAAAAGGCATGGGGTTCTTCATCCAAGATTTAAAGGAAACTTCATGTGCAGTAACTTTAGGCAAAGTTATATTGTTATTACTGAGGCATTACAATGAAGTTGTGGGTCAGTGGCAAAAAGAAAAATGTGGTGGAGGGCACAAAATATATTTCCTATTGAAATACATTAGATGGAAATTCGTGCTGAGTGACACGAAAAAAGAGGGAAATTCGTGTCCATGAACACGAATCAATAGATTACATTTTGTGACTATATCACAAACTGCCGTGAGACTGGGTTGGTATGTATCGTGGCAGTTTAGAAATACCAGCTTCACTAAACTAAACCCCAAACCTCACATATAGTGATGACAAAAGCATCCGTGAGATAAAAACACATCGGATGAAGCAAACATGCCATTTTCGCTTGCTTCTACAAGTCTTTGAGCTCTTTTATTGTGGCCAGTGCGTAATGGGATACAAACCCAAGTGCTGAATATCTCATGTGTAATGCTGTGGGCTACCGAGCAAGTTTACTAAGAAAAGGCATACATATGGAACAGATTATGTGATGCAAAAGTCAAAATGTATTAGTTTATAAATCATGCATTATGATAAAAGTGTTTTAAGTCATTCCTTGGTATTTAGCAAGGAATAAAAGTTGTTGCCATTTTACTGCCTCTATAGTGTTCATTTCAGTTGGAAACCACAGTAAATTGTACTTATACGGATGTTTTTTACAAAAATGTAGGTAGAGGCACATGTTTCTAGCCTGGGTTGATGTATTTAAGTAAGTACAGTAGGCCTAATTCATTCCAGTTGCAACGGATATTATTCAGTTATTTTGAACATGAAGTACAGGTGCATATAAACCACTTTTTGTGTGAAAAACTGTGAAAAAAATTGTTTTGCACATGCTTAAATAAAAATACATCCAAATAAAACCAAGTCACTGTCATGCTGTTTGTAGGAAAACAGGATGAGCCATTCAAACAGTATAAAGACAGTAAAATGATGCTTCAGATGGGTGAAGGGATGGTTGAGGATGTGAACTCCAAACAGGATGTTGTATGACACTACTATGATACTGTATGAAGTTGCTATACACACATTTGCCAGACTATTTTTGCTGGCAAAAGGGATGTTGAAGTCCCCAGAGAACTGACTCTCCATGGCTAAACCTGCTTGATCCATACAGTACAATAGGGTCTAAAAGTCTGAAACCACATTGAAAATCTGAGAACATTTCATTTAAATTTGCAATAAACAGAAGATAATATAAGAAATAATATAATATAATTACTTCAGGACATACACATTACTGAGAACATTGAACATACCTATTGAGAACATATGCTGCAGAAAAAAAAAGTATGTAATATGAGTATGATGAGACTAACATTGCCTTTGGTACCAAATACCAAATATACCATAAAAAATATAGTATACTGAGTATACTAAAAACAAGGGCCAGAATTAAAAGTGAGAAGTGAGAATAAATGGTCTGACACTAGACAATTTACAACAACATTTAAATGTGATTGTGGGTAGAGTAAAATATTTAAATTAGTTATCAAACAGCAGTCAATTAGTTGAATAATCATTCACAAAGTATTCAGTCAGACCTAGATTTGTGATGACATTTCACATTGATCACATTATATAAATGAATAAGCACAATTTCTAGGCCATTGATAAAATAAGGACATTGATTACATTAATTATGTGAACTCCATGTAAAAGGTCAGATTTCTTTGCTTCATTTGAAGCACAAGATGGTCTTTGGACTATTATCAATCAGATTACAAACTTGAGGGGTTGGGTTGGAAGTATATGCAGCATGAGTGTATGGAAACATTATGCTTGTTTTGCCATGATCAAGACCTCAGCATTTTCACTACCATCCGACTTGGGGGACATAATGTTTGACAGATGTTGACCAGAGAAATGGTGAGTGACATACAGGGCTTTTCACATCACAAAAGTTGTGAAAACAAGAAAAACAAGCCTGAAAAGATACTGCATTGCCTCTTGTAAGTTCCACTGCCTTAAAAGTGATACATATAAAATACTAGGAAATCAATAAATTCTCACTCAGTGT